GTTGGTTCTTTTTGAAGCCAGTTTCTAAATCGTGTGGTTTCTAGGCCAGACACAAGCAAGGCTAAAGGAGAAGGGGCAGTTTCCTGGAGAGAGGACTAAGACTTAGGACACTCATAACAAATAGAACCTCACAGCCCTTCTGTCTTTAACTCTCGCTCTCTCTTTATAGCTGACATGCTCCTAATTAGGGAGCAACTTTTTCTGGCTACAGAAGTGGAATAACTTTAGATATTCTTTTTTAAAATTTATTTACACTTTTCTTTTTCATTTATTTTTTATTAAAGATTTCTGTCTCTTCCCCGCCACCGCCTCCCATTTCCCTCCCCTTCCTCCAATCAAGTCCCCCTCCCTCGTCAGCCCAAAGAGCAATCAGGGTTCCAAGTCCTGTGGGAAGTCCAAGGACCACCCACCTCCATCCAGGTCTAGTTAGGTGAGCATCCAAACTGCCTAGGCTCCCACAAAGCCAGTATGTGCAGTAGGATCAAAAACCCACTGCCATTGTTCTTGAGTTCTCAGTAGTCCTCATTGTCCGCTATGTTCAGCTAGTCCGGTTTTATCCCAGGCTTTTTCAGACCCAGGCCAGCTGGCCTTGGTGAGTTCCTGATAGAACATCCCCATTGTCTCAGTGTGTGGGTGTACCCCTCGCAGTCCTGAGTTCCTTGCTCATGCTCTCTCTCCTTCTGCTCCTGATTTGGACCTTGAGATTTCTGTCCGGTGCTCCAATGTGGGTCTCTGTCTCTGTCTTCTTTCATGGCCTGATGAAGGTTAATATTCAGGAGGATGCCTATATGTTTTTCTTTGGGTTCTCCTTCTTATTTAGCTTCTCTAGGATCACTAATTATAGCCTCAATGTCCTTTATTTATGGCTAGAAACCAAATATGAGTGAGTACATCCCATGTTCCTCTTTTTGGATCTGGCTTACCTCACTTAGTGTTTTCTATTTCCATCCATTTGCATGCAAAATTCAAGAAGTCTTAGGTATGAGTGCTCTGTCTACTTGTATGCTTGCATGTCAGAAGGGATCCTATTATCGATGGTTGTGAGCAACCATGTGATTGCTGGGAATTGAACTCAGAACTTCTGAAAGAGCAGCCAGTATGCTTAACTGTTAAGCTATTGCTCCAGCCCCAACTTTAGGTATTCTTAAGATAGAATTTTCTCTGCTCAAATTTCCTGGTAGGATTGCAAGTGGGCTTTCCAAATAAAGATAGAAGGGTAATAATTCAGCATCCAACTTACGTTGATAGCCAGGGGTAATCTTTCCAAGAGTCCCTGCCACCCATTGAAGGACTCTGAAATCATGTTATATCAATATATTGAACAGAGAGTAACAGTAGAAGAAGTATGCTTACAGAACTTTGGATAAACGTTATCTGTCAGAAGTTACAGTTCCTAGTGCTCAAGATCTAGATGAGCAGTTTCCCAGCCTATGAGCCCTGACCCTTTGGTGAGTGTCAAGTGACATTTTCATAGGGGTCGCCTCAAGGCCATTAGAAAGCACAAATATTTACATTATGATTCCAGACGGTAGCAAAATTACAGTTATGAAGTAGCAACAAAAGTAATTTTATGGTTGGAGGTTACCACAACATGAGAAACTGTATCAAACAGTAGCAGCATTAGGAAGGTTGAGAACATCTGCTCTAGATTAAACAAGTGTTTTAGTGTATTTTGCCAAGGACAAGTTTAAAGGGGCAGATATGAAAAACCCATAAGTTAAAGAAATTTTAAGTTGGTGTCAAAAACAAAAGATTAAAATTGGCAACTTCCAGTTGTTTTTCTGAGTAATATAGAAAATTATTTGATAATTGCATAACTGATAACCTGACAGAAGTCTGACATTCACAAAGACATTGTCATTGAAGATCTAACCTATGGGATCTCTTTCTGAACTTCGTAGGATTAGTGAAGTTATAATGATATTACATGCTGACCAAAGTCCTTCCTTGTTCTCAAGATGATGAGTGTGGTCACCCCAGACAATGGGCCCTCTGAGGTAAGAATGCATCCATTATTACCTTGCAAAGAAAGACTCCATGTCTTCAACTCCCTTAAAAGAAGGTGCATATTCACTTTAAGTAGAGACTTTTGGAGTGCAAAAACTTGGAGGATTCTTTGGGGACGAATGCTTTTATCTTAATAAGAACAAAATGTTGCTTATAGAAATATAAATTTTGAAAGGCATCATGGAAAACTTACGCATTTGAGAACAGCTAAAAGTGGCCATATTTGTCTTCCTCATATTCAGATAATCAGACATTAACGGTATTTCTTATGAAACAATTTTCTTGTTTCTGCAAAACTATTTTTTTTTTCCTGCGGTTGGTAGCTTTAGTAGCCCTATATGCTTAACCTTAGGCTAAACATGCTAGAAATATCCTAGAGTGTATCTGACCCTTACCTGACATCATGCCTGCCTGCAAAACCAACTTTATTAGCTTTCCCTACACATCAAATATGTTGGCATTCTTCTTTTCTTAAGATAATCCCCTAACTGTCATCCCTTCCATGCTCCAAATGGAAATAGATGTTGTCCAAATCAATAGACGTAAAATTCTTCTTAGGTTTATTTTATGTCTACGAGCATTTTGTGTGCAAGTGGATCTATATAGCATATATGTGCCTGGTGCCCATGCAGGTCAGAAGAGGGTATCAGATCACCTAGAAATGGAGTTACAGATAGTTGTTAGCCACGATATGGGTGCAGGAAACTTAACTCAGGTTCTATGCAAGAGTAACAAATACTCTTAACTGCTGAGCCATCTCACTTGTCCCCAAATCAGTCGATTTTTAACATGTGCCCTAAGCTTTTCTTCACTATTTTAATTCTTAAGGTTACTTTAAACTCTTCATTTGGACTGTATTCAAGAGAAGTCATAAGAGAAGGTAGAAGGGAAGAGGGAAGGAAGGAAGGGGAGTGAAGAAAACGTGTAGCTCAATAAAAAAGTGAGTGACAAGAATGATTCATAGAAATAACGAATGCATAGAAGGTACCAGATAGGTTGAGTCTGGTGAAATCAAGGTTCAGTAGTATCACGGCAATTATTATCAAACATCTGATTGCTAGGGAAATAGCACTGGAAAGTGTAAACAGGAGCCAATGGATAGACAACTAGAGAAAGGGAGATGATCTCTAACAGATCATTCCAAAGGCACAATGGCTTGCCTAGAGACTGAATGTGACCCAGTATGAGCTAATACATCATTTTGAAGGTGCTGTGGCAGGATAAGTGTTAACTCTACATCATTGAAGCTGCTCCCTACACTGAGGCTGATTTTGTACGTGGGCACTCACATTCCCTCATTGTTTAACTTTAATTCTGTGTTAAGCTACACTAATCAACACTGCTAGCTGCTGCTTACTTTTCTTCTCTCCTGGCTTCCCAGCATAATATGCTACTTCAACAGTATAGTCAGTCACCTTGACAGTCAAGGTGCTTATTTGGATACCTTTCAGCATCACTATTCAAAGAGAATCTGTTTCCCAATAAGGTAGGGAACAGTCTTCAGCATTCTGTCTCTTTGCAAACCTCAAAGACTCTTGGACTGAAGATATGCTTTGAAATTAAAATCATTGCAAGTCTGCTGAGTAAGCAAGTACTAAACATACTTGGAATAAGTAGACTAGAATGTTATCACTTAGCATAATGCAGAAAAAAACTTTTTCTCCTCTAGTGTGCATAAAAGATTTCACTAACTCAAAGGCATACGTCACATTATATAATCGTGTCTGATTTTAAACAATTCACACATGCACACGCGTGGGCACACATACACACACACACAGACACCTGTACATAAGTTGATGAAACTGCTATGGAGACAAAGTTATTATTTCAGACACTGCCCCCGACAACAACCCATCTTAATTATAATAAGTTAATATTAATCATGGGAGGATATCATATATGAAAAAACTATATAAGGTTAAAAAATGTCAAGAAATATTTGTATTGGAGAATCCATCAGGCACAGTTCTTGCAGTAATGAAACAACCTTCAAATCATGGCACACTCTATTGCATTAAAATAAAGTTAAATGACCTAATACCTATTTCCTATAACAACTACCATTTAACTAAACTTCTTTTGTTTATAGGTACTGTAATGAACACTTCCCATTTGTTATCTTCTTTTATCTTTGCAAAACAATATTTTCTTTACAAAAATATTTTCTCAAATCCACATATTGGAAACCTACACTTGAGAACATCTTTCTCAGACTATATATTTGATAGTAAAGCAAGGCAAAGAAACCAAAATTGACTTGAGTCTTATTTAATAATTCATCTATGACACTCTCTTCTTTTTGCAATCATGGTTGTCCCTTTGTGGCTTGTCATTGTCCACCAGTCTAAATTTAAAGAAAGCTGAACCTAAAAGATGCAGATGTTAACTGCAAAATGATCTTTAGATTTACAAAACCCAGAACAGCTGGATGCCCTCAGACAAAATCAAGATGTGCTTCTTTATTCCACTTCTGTGTATTAGCAAACAAAAAGCACACTAATTGTTTTGAGAATTAACTCTCAGGCCAGTTATAGTAATTAAAAAAAAATACAGAACCTAGCCCAGGAGGTCAACATCAATTACCAGCTTCGGGAGTGGGAGTCACACAATCAGGGATGGGGAATTGTTTTGGGTAATAAACCCCTGTTGTGCCTGTTCCTTTCCTCTCCCTACAAGTTCATATCTTTCTTTACCCAAGTTCTCTCTGAGTGCCATTCATCTAGGGACAAATGGCCATTTTCTTAGGTGCTAGCCATTAAATAAACCTGGCTTTCTTCTACTACATTTCACCTCGGAGTACTGACCTTAGAACAATGTGTTTATGGACATGAGTCCACTAACACCTTCATGTGCAAATGCTAATGTGATTATTTTATTTGTACCAGGTTTATGTGAAAAATAAAAATAACAGTTTTATTTTACTGGAGTCAAGTGAAGTCCTTTCTATGGAAGATTCAGCTTATCTCTCAAGCAGGAACGGTCACACTCACCTCGTTTATGAAGGAGAACACTGGCATGCCGACGTCCATTTCCATTTTCAACATAACAGGAATAATTCCCCAGGTCACCTTCTTCCACAGAGTCAACAATTAATGAGATAGAAACTTCCTGTTCTCCAAGATGTTCCTTAAGAATTCTAAAACATAAAGGAAAACGCAACAAAAAACCCCACACAAACATACACATACACATACATGAAAAAGAAAGAAATGTAGATGAATCCGAATCTGATGAGAATATACCTACAGAGTTGGTGCTGCAACTCTGGCTAGGAATTGATGCTAAGTTAATTAAATGATAGCATGCCCTTTTCCTCTTCCCTTCTAATGAAGAAGCTTGTCTTTGGAGATGCTAATGAACTTGCAGTTAATTATCTCTCATAGGAGGACAGTCATACTGTCATGATAGAGAGGTGACGGAGACCTTGAGAAAAGTTTACAAATCGTTTTTCCTTTAAGAAGAAATATGATGTAAAAATGAGATAACAGGTTTCAAAATGTTAGACTGGAGGCCTAATTATATATCGGATTATTTTCAAAAAGAGTAAGAGAAAGAAAACATTTCCGAGTTATTTTGACACATTGGTTGACACCACCAGCCTGACTTACTTTTTCAAATGATACAAGCAAGTTGTATAGTTTTAAAGAAATATGAAACCATAAACTGAGAGATTAAAACTTCTGATAAGTATTTAATGCTGACTTTTAAAATTGATGGTAAATGCTTACTAATCTGATTGTTATATATTTTAGCAATCTCTCAAACAAATGCAAATTAAATAAGGTATCCTTTTACATGCTCCCGGTATTCCTAGTTCTAAACTCCTGCCTGGATGAATGTGTATGTATACTTAATATATATATATCTTATTAGATAAATAACTTTCCAGAGCTTTTTGTCAAGGTCATACAGTCGAAGTTTAGGTTTACAATACTACTTTAATTTTAATAATTCAAAAGCATTGGTAAATGATAAAAAGTGAAATTTAAATATGAATAATGACAAAGAAATATTTTCATCCATATTGGAGAACTGACAATGTGGATTTTCCAGAACCCAATTGGAGCAATCCAGAGTTTGATATTGTGTATTTGTTGCCAGAGATAAGATCCCGATAGAAATTATCTTTTATGACAGTTTTATTCTTACTGAAAACCATTTTCTCTTACTTCCTTGTTAAAGTTTTAAGAGGCTTGACATTGAAAAAGGAGAAGCAGCACTCAAATTTACGTACAGTCATGGAAAATATGGAATGTATAGAAAGCCTTTATATGGAAGAATATATAGAAAATATCCATCATTTGTATTTGGATATAACCTAATTATCATTATGAAAATCCTTGATCATTTGCATTATGATTAGAACTAACTCTTCTTGTTCAAATATAATTTACATCATCATTGAATACTTTGATAATTAAACATAAGTAAATAAATATGTAACTACATTGAAAAAAAGAAGTATAAATATTATGCCCTCAAAATCGATACCTAAAAATCTAAGGTTTTTTTTCTATTATTATTCTCTCTTCATAAATATTTATACATTAAAGTTAGAGTAGAAAAGATAACAAAAATTTGCATATCCTCCATCACCTCATCAAACATTTTATATTTGACTTGGTAGCTTAAATATGTAAAAATATCCAAGGAAAATACAAAGTTTGCATTTGAGTCCATGTAGTGCCTAGCTAACCTTTCCTGTCAATATTTATTTTTAGAGACAGTTGTCTCACCCCAGCCCAGGCTGGCTCTGAATGATCCTGTTTCCCAGGTTGGCCTTCAATTCACAGGAACACTTTTGTCTGAGATTGTCAAGCACTGTGATCACAGACATTAGCCACCAGCGCCTGGTTCTTCTCAGTAACTTTTAAAAGATTTTGTAAAAACAAAAGGCACAGTGATTTTCCTAAGGTTAGAATGGGCTTCTATATTTTCCATTATTATAGCTTTAGTGAGCTACTAGCATAAGGTCTCTTTGGAAATTATTCTTATGTGGAGAAAGTGGGGGTATGTTTGTGAATATGTTCAAAACATACTGTATGAAATCCCAATGAATTAATACAAATATTTAAAATGAAAAGAATTACTCTTAGTTTTTGTAAATGGCATTCACATTTTGTAATTCCATAGTCAGTCTCAACAATTCTTTGCTTCTTACACAAAAGTATCAGTATTTCTGTTATGATAACAGAAAGATAAAATGATTAAAAGTCTTTTCTCTTTTAGCTCACCCTCTCCCCACTTAGCAGAGCAAATGTTAACTCAACTGCACGTGTTCAAAAGATGAAAAATAGTTTACCTAATGTCACTTTCCCAAACTCTATTTTCATCCAGATCTTCAATAAACTTCTCTCCTTTCATCCAGTAAATCAAAGGACTGACGTCCCCACTGTACCCAAAGAAAGCTCTGCAGGTGAGGTTGGCGGAGTCACCTGTGGAGAAAAGTGATGGAGAAACAACCTCAATCCATTTGCACCCACTTCTTTAAAAGAAATTGACTGGTAAGAATTGGACCATTCCATTGATCTGAAAGAGCTAAGAAAATAGTTGTTCAAGCATTTTCCTTTTTTGTCAAGTTTATCAAATGTATCATCACGTTTTGACAGTATGTACTATTTTATGTAATGAGAGTTACTTATGAGGTTTAAAAGAGGATCAGTTATCTTATAGGATATTCTTTCATTGAGGCTCTATGATATTTTCTTTCTTATGATTAGATTGATAGATTGGGAGTTTATGAATTATTGGGAAAAATCACAGAAGGAATATATTCCTCTCCAGGCATTCCATCAAAGCATACATGGAAAAACAAAGCAGAATATTTGTTTGGGGAAAAAAGCAACTATAGAGTCAAGAAAGCACTACTAAGAGATGTTGAATCCCTAAGAAATATATTTTCTTGGCAAAGAAACAATATTAGGTAGAAAATTGCCTTAAAATGAATAAATGCATGACAATAAATATTTGGAATTTTCATCAAAGTAAATCAAGAATATGCATGGTGTAGCCGGGCGGTGGTGGCGCACGCCTTTAATCCCAGCACTTGGGAGGCAGAGGCAGGTGGATCTCTGTGAGTTCGAGACCAGCCTGGTCTACAAAAGCTAGTTCCAGGACAGGCTCCAAAACCACAGAGAAACCCTGTCTCGAAAAAAAAAACAAAAACAAAAACAAAAAAAAAAAAAAAGAATATGCATGGTGGAGAAGTTTTGTTCTGCTTTTTAAGTATTTTGTTTACTACACTTAGATCATTTTATATAATGGTAGATATAGGTTAATTGACTATTTTAATAAGGTATATATAAATTCTTGACTAAAATGTACCTATGAATCTAATGTCTCCAGAACACTCAGTTTATTCTTTGCCATTTATAACACTTTTATTTACTCAAGCTATAGCCAACATTACACAATTGAAATAGTCTAGATTTATCTAGTTATATGAACTTCCTGACTCCAAGTGGAACCGGAAAGAAGTCCAGTAAGAGCCTATTCCAGTAACACATAAAAGAACACTTCGTCATGATGTCAAATGATGAACTGAAATGTATGCCCCAGTGACATGTCTGCTGGCATCTAGAGTAAGCTAACTCTCTCAATTAGATGTTGCAATAGATTATGATAGTAGTCTGTATGGTTCTGTGCTCTCTGAGCCCCAGGAAAGTAGTTCCTAATAACCTTATAACTAAGCTATGAGTAGTCGTGGAAATTTCCTAAATTCTTCTTTGGACTTTTGCAGGATAAGCAAAGAGGAAAGTGCAATATACTCAGCTGTCCTCTTTTAAAGAGCTGGGCATTTTGTGCACTTGGTTCTACATTTTCAATAACAAAAATATTTTTATTGGCTAAAATAAGTATTATTATTTGAATTTTTGTCAGTTGTACAAGAAAAAAAAATCCAAAAACACCTGTTCTAATATTTTAAGATGTGGGTATTTTGTATTTGCTCATTTTTTTAAGAATATTTTCTACTAGATTCCTAAAAGTTCTGATTCTATATGTAAGAGTCATTCACCATTGGTGAGCTAGATCAGGCCAAGTTCATAAAATAGCCACAAGCTTTTTATAGTCTAAAATGAAGCTTCTGCCAAGCTATGTGGCACACTCGTGCAGTATCAGGAATTGAGAAGTAGAGACAAGAGGATCACAAGTCTGTGGCCAGCCTAGATAATATTGTGCATTCTTGGCCAGCTTTGGCTATTGCAGAGGAAGACCCTGTCTCTAAAAGGTCTAAGAACCGACATTGTAGTTTAGCTATAAAGTGCTCAGACAGCATGTTTCAGGTCCTGGGTTTGATAGTCAGCAATGAAAAAGGAAAAAAGTTTATTACAATTTTTTGTACATAAACATTTTTAAATGTTTTAATATTGAATTCACTTTTAGGGAACACTTAGGTTACAAAAAGATAACTGAGCATCAACATTCTTGAATACTATCTAAGTATATATTTCTATAGAACGTATATTCATATTAATTTTAAATGAAGTATGGCTTTCCTCATGCTGAAATTACAGGCGTGTGCACTTTAACACCTGGGTGTGCATTTAAGGTTTTAGTTACTAATTTTAAGCAGCTGGAATGCCAGCTACCATGTCAATGTAGCCATAATTCGCCAGCAAATCTTACACAGAATCAAGATATGAAACTTAAAAGGCACATATCAATAATGTGCACAATCTGCTGTTTGAAAGATCAAGTTTAAATTTTAAGGAGAGATTCAATGACTGTAAGTAATAAATAAAAATCTTCAGAGATTGCCTGCTTTACAGTACAATTTTGTTAAATAAACATAGATTGCACCATGAGTATCTCAGTTTGACATTCCTTAGAGTCAACTGAAACTCTCTGGGACCTGAAATAGTCTTTCCCATTACTTCCTCCACCCCCTAAACAGAGGAACTCTGTAGATCCCCAACTGTTACTTCCTTTCTCTTCAGGTTTTGTGCTGCTCCACCTAGGAAATGATTCCTTCAGTCATGCAATGCTTTCTTTCTCGTTGCGGATTGCTTTGTCTTTGACTTTTAACTCCAGCTGCAATATTGGTTTTAGCCACATAGCTACAAGTGAGAAACTGAGGAAACTTTGGAGGAAATAAAATGACTTCATCATAGGGGAAGATGAAGTATATGTGAAAGATGGGTGTAAAGGAACACGTAGGGAGGTACAGAGTATTGTTAAGATGAGAACAGCACCAACTCTGTTCTTCTGTGTAAGCAGTTTTGAACAATTTAGACTTTCATTTAAGAAAAAAAGGTAAGCTGGAGGAAGGTTTGGAATAGTATCTGAAAAATAATCATATCTGTCATGTAAAATCTAGCTCTCTTTGCATTTTCAAACACAGGCTTGGATCAGAAAGGATCAAGAAGGACTAAGATTACAGTATTCTGGCATTACTTACCAAGCAGTTAGTGAAAATATCAGATCGTTTATACATAATTGTTTCCAAGGATAAATAGTACATAGAAGCAATGACTATAGAATGTTATGCCTATCACAAAAGTGTTGCCAGGGAACATCTCAAAGCAGAGCTTAATAAGAAGCCTGAGATGCTGGAAGGAAAGCTCAGTGATAAGAGCACTGACTGTTATTCCAGAGGACCAGGATTTGATTCCCAGCACCTATATTGTTGTTCACAACCATCTGTAACACCAGTTCTATGGCGCTTGTCTCTGTCTTCTAGTCTATGTGGGCACTGCACACACGTGGCACACAGATATGCATGCACACAACACACACATACATACACACTCTCTGTCTCTCACACAAAAATCTCAAAATTTAAAATAAATAAGTTTGACAAAATAGATGACAGAAAACACAGTTTTATTTGCATAATTTAAATGTGTCACAGTGGTGTTTGTATGAGATTGAGAGAATGAGAAAGTGAGTGAGGGGGGAGAAAAAAGGAGGGAGGAGAAGGATGAGGAGCAAAGAAGAGAGGAAAGGAAAGAGAAAAAGAGGATGAAGTTGATAAACTGATTTTGAAGTGCAACCAACTATTTCTCAATATAGGTCATAGGGAAAGTCATTTTGATCTGTGCTGTGCTGTGCTGTAAAGAGAGTTTTCAGTGGTTTTTCTGAATTGTATCCACTTGTGTTGCTGAACAAAAGCCTCTAGTCCTCATCCTGTGCATAGCTCTGCTAGTAGGGAAGACCAATAGAGACCAGTGGAATCTCTCTACAGCGAAGACCAGTAAAGTCCTGCTCACACGGGAAATTCTACCCAAGCTAACTAACATTCTTTAGAAAAACTCCAGTGACTCTGGCACTTTTCACTTGGGGAAAGGTGACTAAGCAAATGAATGACACAGCTGTGATTTATATTCCAGTGTCTTGAATACATCAGAAATGCAATAAACAATGACAAGTAAGAAATATGCTTCGGAGCTTTTAAATTTCCATTCGATCTTAATTCCTTTTTCATTTTGGAGAAAGGGTTTTGATGTGTACCCCAGGCTAGCCTAGCACTCGGTATGTAACACAAACTGTCCTGCAACTCCTGTTTCTCTTTTCTTAGCTTCCCAAGTGTTGGGACTATAGGCATTATCACCATACTCAACTTCTTGTTTTTCTTTGGTAAGTAATGTTTTATTACATCATTATTTTAAGGCTACCTGTCCATATATCTCAAAAAACCAAATCAATCTTATATAGTAGGCTCCACATTCCAAATGTAGAGCCTCTTAATTCAGATGTTTGCTTCAATAATATGTTGAGGTGAGTCCTCATCAGTTGACAAGAGCTTATTACCACATGGTCATAAATTCTATAGGTAGGTTGATAATCACAATAATTAAAAGTCAAATATTAGAAACACAATTAGTTGACTAAATCAGAAGTAATTGATGCTGAATATTTGTATTTATTTTTCTACATTGTGCTATAATTAATGCTCTTGAGATTATTCATAACTATAGTATCTATAGGGTGGCTCAGTGGATTTAGAATGAAAGCATATGAAACTTGGAAAAATGGATGAAAAATGCACTGAAATTGGAAAGGAGGGCTGGGGGGGTACATTTGGTGAAAAGACTTTTTCTGTATTATGAAATTTTCAAACAATAACAAAAAAAACTGAGATAAACTGCATTCAGGAGGTAGTGGAAAGAAGATGAGAATTTCAATGTCATCTTCATCTACATAGTAAGTTAGATGATAGCCTGTTCTTTGAAATACTGTCTCTTTGAAATCCTGTTTTGGACAAAACAAACAAGCAAACAAACAACAAAACCCTAAAACCAAGCATAATGTGATTGAATATTTTATCTAAAAAACACATATTTTTATTTTCTAAAGTATGAGTTATTTTAAATATCCAAATGAAACACATACATAAAACCATTTACTATTAAGTTTTAGAAGTTCACCTTCTAAGAGAAAATTCTTTTGTATTACTATTCCATAATGAGACACTGTGTAGGGTTAGAATCATTCT